TGGCGAGCGAAGCAAGCAGGGGGCGAAGCCCCCTAGTTGTAAATGTTAATTTAAATAGAGTAGGTACTGACTGATGTGTAAATGCCAACGAGACGGCTGCTTCATAGAACGTCGGACAAGTTCGCCTATAATGATACAGATGAATCGATATTTATCAACGTTATGTCCGTACATGTTCGGCATGCATCAAGAGTTATATGATTCCATCATCTATGCGAGTTTCCAACTCTCAAGTTGACGATCAACTATTAAGGGATGGGAATAAATTATTGGCTTCGACATGCATGGCAACTCAATTGCCCGTATATATATATATATATATATATATATATATATAGCCGTCTCTCTTTTTGCGCTGACATTTCTATTCATGGAAAATTCAAGTTATTCATGGAAAAAAAATTGCACTCGTGAAAAGTCGAGTTCATCTCACTCAACTTCATCACTGTTTATGTATGTGTGGCATGATAAACCTGGCGTGAAATTATCTTGTCATTTTAATGAGATTGGTGCGCGTGAGTTTTCATCGTTGCCGAGGCGCTGTCTGACACGCGAACAAACTATTATGAGATACATTCAATGGAGATTTACCAACAATTTCCCTCGTTAGATAGGCAGTCCGAAGGTTCGATGGGGGACACATGCACCTATTTGGCCTTTGACAGCGCTATAATTTTTTCATCTATGAAAAACAAACAAAAAAATTGACTCGCCTAAAATAATTGGGGTAATATTCTGGAGAATACTTGAGCAGCACGGCTTATCGATGAGAACCAAGCTTTATTTTGTCTCAAAATATATAAGTCTCAAAATCTTTGAGACTTATGATCTCAAATTGAGGGTTCTGAATGTCTCAAGTTGAGACTTTCTGAATTCATCTTAAAGAAAAATTTCAGGTTGGGTTCCGAACGTCGTAATTTAAGACATCAATTTTAGGCGGTGAAAGTCCCAGGTTGAAAACTTCGAAAGTCTCAAATTAAAACTATGGAAGTCTCAAATTGAAACTTTCAAGTATCAATTGACACTTTGAAGAGACTTCAATGAAGATTTTCAAGTCTCAAATTGAGACTTTTGAAACTCTTAATTTAAGACATTCAGGCTTCAAATTAAGACGTTTGAAAATATTAATTTAAGACCTTTGAAATCCAATTTCAATTCTCAACTTGACTTAAATTGAGAAAGGCTTAAATTGAGATTTTCAAGTCTCAAATTGACACTTTCAAAACTGTTACTTTAAGACTTTCAGACCTCAAATTAGGACTTTTCAAAATGTTTTTTTAAGACATTTAAAATCTAACTTTAAGTCTCAACTTGAGATTTTCAGAAGCCTGACATTGAGATTTTAAAGTTTCACATTGAGATTTTTAAAACTCTTAATTTAAGACTTTCAGGCGTCAAATTAAGACTTTTGAAAATATTATTTTAAGATCTTCGAAATCTAACTTCAAGTTTTAACTTCAGACTTTCAGAATGCTTAAACTGAGATTTTCAAGTCTCACATTGAGACTTTTAAAACTCTTAATTTAAGACTTTCAGGCTTCAAATTAAGACTTTTGAAAATATTATTTTAAGACATTTAAAATCTAACTTCAAGTCTCAAGTTGAGACTTTCAGAAGGCTTAAATTGAGATTTCCAACTCTCAAGTTGAGACTTTCGAAACTCTTAATTTAAGACATTCAGACTTCATTTTAAGACTTTTGAAAATCTTATTTTCAGACCTGTGAAATCCAACTTCAAGTCTCAACTTGAGAATTTTTTGAAGGCTTAAATTAAGATTTCCAAGTCCCAAATTGAGACTTTCTACACTCTCAACTTAAGACTTTCAGGCTTCAAATTAGAACTTTTGAAAATATTATTTAAACACCTTTGAAATCTTAAAATACGGTATTATTATTTTTGAGTGTATTAAGATTTTTTTTTCATAAAAAATTACGGGTCTTTCTAAATTGAGAAAATTTTCTCCCTTGTTAATCCTCAAACACTGAGATATCTTACAGAATATGTAATATCTACACGATTTGATGATGAAGGAGAGAGTTATATCACGTGCGGTTAATTGTAAAATGAGTAATAAACGTCGAGTAGAGGCGCCAGCAGTAGTGGCCAGAAGTTTCGGTATACAAGAAGATAGACAGATCAAAGCGGTTCCCCTCACGTATATAGCTCGATATCAGTGTCTAGATGTCGAAAACTTTCCTCCCTCCCATAGAAACAAGTTGAGCCCACAAAGTTGATATACTCTACGTACAAGACTGTCACGATCTTTTTTTGCTTCCAAATGCGAGCTTTGTAATCACTCTAATTTCAGTGTCCAATTTGTTGTGTTTGAATATTTATGAAACACGACTTAAAAAGTTCGAATAAGTGATTTTTAGAAATTTTTCGATTTTTAGAAATTTTCTTATGTAAGATTAATCGAAATTAATGGATTTTCTCATGAATATAGACTTGAGTAACTTCTATTCATTAACAGCAATTAAAATTCAATTTTTCGTACAAGTTTGACAAAATTTGTATTTTTCCAAAAATCGAGTTTTCAACGATCACTCAACAAATTCTCATAAAAATGGAACTAGTCATGGGGCTCGCACAATTCAATGGATAATAATACTATCGCATAAAAAAATAAAAGAAGAAAGTAGTGAAATGAGAATCTAAAAAAGAGTACCCATTCGGAAGCTAATTGTAAATTTATTAGCGACAATAACTACACTCATTTATAAAACAAGCAGGGGGCCGAGCTTTTCTGTGACAGTTATTTGATGCGTAATTTGTCTTTTTTATTTTTTATTTCTACCAATTCCATTGGTAGTAAGTAGAAATTTCATTTTTTAATTGAAAAATGGCAATTTGTATTGAAAACGTTTCCTCGAAACGTTTGACCTTCTAAAATTGAGAATTAAATTTCGGTTTTATCCAGTAGCATAGGCATACTTACACGACCCCATTTTTAAGAAATGTTTCCATGTGAAAATCAATGATAGAATAACGATATGTCATTTTATGCGAAAAACGTTTTTTACATCAACTGCTCTATTTAAAAAAGTATTGAATCGATCAATCTGAAATTTTACACAGGAGTGCAACTCGATGATACTAACTAGTCCTCAACATTTTGGAACTTGACCACATCCTTCACTCATCTAATGGAACGTCAAAGTAACTTTCAGACAAGAAAAATAGAAAAACGCCAATATCTCGTAAATTTTGTAGGAACGGGGTATATATATTTTGAGAGAACTAGGTAGAAGACATTAAGATAAATATTTTGAACAAAATCTTGAAATCGGATGAACAATTTTTGAGATATTGAACAATATAGTCTTATACGAAAAATCGAATATCTTTAAAACTACTCATTCGATTTCGCCCATCTGAAATTCCAGCCTGTGATATAGTAAGAGCTAGAATCCTACCAAATTTCAACTTCCTATCTCAATTTTTTCAAGCGTTATCGTGTTCACATCAATTTTATCATAAAAATGAAAAATGTCAATTACTAGGCGACTCGCAATATTTAGCTGGGCACATTAGTGTCTGATTCGACAGATATTATCATAAGGAATATTTATTTGACGCCAAAAAAGTTCATTTGATGCAGTAGTTTTTGAGATATTGAGAAAAGAAAAATTTTTCGGAGGCGCTGTATCTCAAAAACTACTGGACCAATTGAGCTGAAATTTCTCTCAGATGTGCTCCCAAACAATACCAATTATGAGCCAAAATTTCAGATTTTTTTCCATCACTTTAGTCCTTTTTCTGAAAATTTATGAAAAAATTGTCAGAATCTTGTCCGCACATACTAACGTTCACAGACATTCTCTACAAACATTATATCTCGACGTTTCATGACGTTCTAAGTCATTTCCAAGCAAAGTTGGAGAATCGAAAAATCGGCCGATTGCACTGATAGAATGATTCATTTATTCCAAACGAAATTCGTTAACTATTAACGAATGGTAGAGTTGAATATGACCAAATGAATATTCGTTAATAGTTAACGAATGATTCACTTGAATGGCGAAAGTCAAGTCAAACAAGGCTACTCAAATATACATTCGTTAACTATTAACGAATGAACATTTGGTGGGACCGAATAGACCCTAATCTTCAACCAAAATCCATTCGTTAACAATAACTAATCCGTTCTATCAGTGTGCAAAGCTTCCACTGGGAAGCAAAAAAGGCAATTATCCACTCGTTAATTCTCCTTTTGTTTTCACCTTCTTCATTACTATTTTCACTGCAGGTACCGAGGAATCCTCACACACCGGGCAAGGGAGCCTACTGGGCCCTCCACCCAGCCGCATTATCCATGTTCGAGAATGGCTCCTACTTGCGAAGGAGAAAACGGTTCAAATTACCGAAGGAATCCAAAGAGGAGAGTCAGGCATTGGCGGAGACAACCGCCAGATTGGCAGCGAGTAGCGCATGTTCATTGTCTGATTGCCATCCAACCCCCTACTATTCCCACCAACATCAGGACCAGACGATAGCCCTGACTCAGCAACAACTGGACTTCCTGAATCTAACATCGGGATTGACATCCATCTCCAAAGATTTCAATCCTGAACGAAAATCCGAGCTACTGTCTAGCACGTCTAAACGGGGCGATTCGTCACCTGACCGAAGACTGTCGTCGAAAGGGCTGAAATCCCCCGGTGGAGTACCCAAGTCGTTCAGCATAGAAAGCATAATCGAAACAACAAGCTCGAATGAGCAACGATCCAGGTAAGCTCTACTTTTCTTAACAACCAGGTTACGTATGAAAAATAAATGCATTTACTGTGTGGCCGTCTCATGCATGAATATTGGGGAAAACTATGGAAGGTGAACAACTACCTTGGCTAGATATACATTTGTCGTCGCCCTCCAGTGAGCAAGGGTGTCTGCTTGAGTCGTTGCAACCGGGAATATAAAATATTACCAGTGGGATAATTTTTTTTCTTGAGAATATGGGAGAGGACATAACATCACAAATTATTATCAATGTGTTTTTGCTTCTGAATGGAAGCATTACGTATCTTTTCCGTAATTCCGGAACGAAATACGGTTGTAATAACTTTTACGGAACTGACACGGAATTTTTCCAGAGCGTTCCGTAATTTTTACCTGAATCTCCTGTGAAAAATTACGATACTGTCACTTATATTTTCTGAGTCGATTCCGTAATCGGTGAGCGAATTGTGAGTTCCGTAATTTTTACTGAACATTTCCCTCCGTGCAAAACTGAAATTTCCAGTTTTTTGTGTGACGATGAATAATTTTTGTGTCAGGAGTTCGAATATGCAAATTTAGTTTTTCGACGATCATTCAAAAAATAATCGTCGAAATCTTTTCAATTATGGCTTAAAATATTCGTTTGGATGTTACCTCAGTCGAGTTCGAAGATAGTGGCGATCGCATCATTTGTTTTGAAATTATAGCTTTAAAAAGCATTTAATCGAGGTTTAATCATGGTTTAGTCGGGATTTAGTCGGATGTTAATCAGGGTTTAACCAAGGTTTCGTCAAGGTTTAATCAATGTTCAGTGGAAGTTTAAACCAGTTTAATTTTTATTTAGTCGGCGTATGGAGCTCATGTTAGACATTTGGGACATTTAGAGATCATTATAAGGTTTCATGGCTGCTATATCTTCTTCCCCAATTTACCATTGAGAAGCAAATTGCTAATTCATTAGCAAAAAAGTTATACTGGTCTCAAGTCCAGTTTGAGGAAAGCTATTCAGGAAAAAAATTCAATTTAAATAATTTGTTTACGACCGAGGAGAAACAAACATTGATGTAGCAGGAGCGTGAACTCTCGTGATATCAAATTTTACATTCATTTTGTTTTCACTCAATCTGTCTAATTTAACATAAATTCAGTTCACTAAAAAATTTTATCTCAAATTGTCTTTAAAAAAAAACTATTGGATTTTCCTGAGGTTACACTTCGGGAAGGATTCCTACTAATCTGAAATTAATGACAGAAAACTGAATATGCACTTTTTTGTTTTAAATTCGATTAATCCATTCGGAAGCAAACTGCTAATTTTTAGCAAAATAACTATACTTGATGTACACTTGTACAATGAGCCATTTGTTTTTCTCAAGAATATGTGAAAGAACATCACAAATTATTATCAACGTGTTTTAGCTTCTTAATGAAAGCATTTTAATGGTCAAATCCGAAATTTTCCATTTCCCATTTTGTGTCAGGATGAGTAATTTTGACCTCAAGAGTTTAAAATAATTACACGGAGAGAAATTTTCTAGAAAAATTCTAGTACGAGTACTGTAAAAAATCACAATCCACCGGCTGTGAAAAATTCTAGTGCTGTTAGGGTAAAATTTCTTGGTATTTCTGGTAAAATTTCTGGGAATTTCTGTGAAATTTTCACAGAAATACGGGGAAAAATTCACGTTTTCCCAATAAAATTTCTAGTGCCGGCATTGGAATTTTTTCCTTGTCACTTTGCGCCTCTTTTCCCGTGCTAGCACTAGAATTTTTGTAAAAAATTTCTCTCCGTGTAGAAAAATAATTGTTTAAATGAATCCAATTTCGATTTGAAATATTCTTCCCATACTGAGAAAAAATTTGTTTGGACAAATTAGTTTGCTGGAAAAGAAGTAGCTGATTTGAACGAAGTGGTTCGATATAACAATTTTAAACACGCGGGTTACAATAAATACAGGTTTTTTAAATAAAAAAAAACGGCGAAGATAAAATACCAAAATAGTGTGTCAAGAAAGAGTGGAAAAAAACGAATAAATGAAACAATCGAGAGACGCTAATTTCTAAGGAGAAAGTAAAGAATGTGTAAATGATAGAATGCAATTGGGGAAATTAGAGATACGTTACAATGTTTTTTAAATGAACTAGATTAGGCCGCGTATTCTCCACCTTACGTACTTCAGGAATTGGTAGATCCGAGATATAGATGTTTTCGATGGATTGCCACTAATTTTAAAACTTAATATGATTGTGGTAGAGATTATGGTGAACTCCATTAAGTTCTTCTAAAGTATATTCACTCCATAAGAACCATTGGTTTTTGAATTATCCACGTTCACACACGAATCGAGTGAAAAAACACAATTGCCGTTTTGAGACAAGAAATTTTGAAGACAGAAAATTTACCAACCTCTCGAAGAACGAACGGGTTTTTTCGTTTTTTCAATTACCAAAGGAATGAGTATCAGGTATTGTGATGAAGTGGCAATATTAAGCTTCTGTCGAACAGGGATTTTCTTTATTATGAAAAATCCAAATTATTCTCTGCAGGTAAAAAACCAAAACAAAATCATCATGAATTGAGGCACGATTGTGAATTGTTTGGTTTAAAAAAATCGTTAAAAAAAACGTTACATTAGATTTTTTATCACGGTTCGGGTGTACTATCTTTCTAACGTTATCTCCATGTTTTTTCCATCTTTCATCATCTGAAATTGTCAATTAAGTCCTGCATCATGCAGAAGTTTTAAAAAATTATAAATGAATAATCAAAAAAAAGTAGAAAAAATTTTTAATTTTTTCAAAGAGCATTTTTAATTTATATTCAGAATAAGTTGAATAACAAGAAATTGAAAAATGTATCTGATTTACGGTGACAAATGGCGGCCTGTCACCCAATATCATGCAGGGGGAAGACTGATTTCGTAAATCTTTTCCTACACTGCACAGAGACATTTATTACAAAAAAGGCTCTTTGAAAAAAGTTGTAATATTTTCGAGAATTTTTTAATCACACTTTTATCACCTAAAAATGGCAGATGACTACATACCACTGTTTTGAAAATTGAGATACCTAGCTGTCCCTTCCCATGAGGAGTTAGTGTTTTGTTATCCACCATGGAAAATGACAACTAATAAATAATTTCCCACAGCGAAGCAGATATTTGTAATTTCCACTTTTGTCAACTCATTCTGAATCCCAATTAAAAACGCTCATTGAAAAAGTTCAGAATTTTTTTGATCATTCTATCATAATTTTTGGGAATTTCTGCAGGATGTACCACTCAATTGACGATTTTGGATTACGAAAGATGAAAAAATCCAGATAACATTCGAAAGATAGTACACCCGGGCCTTAAAGGAACTATCTTCTGGAGGTGGTGAATTCCACTACTAATTTTCCAAAACTTCTAACAAATCACAATAACAACAATTTTCGTGTTTTAGTATTTCCGCCCCGGTAATATCATCGCAGAGCCTGCTGCCCTGGCCGAGTAGTAATTTTCTGTACCCCCTGACAAACTCCCTGAGCACTTACCCCCTGCACCTTCACCAAGCGGCCGCGGTGTATGCAACAGCCCTCGCAACAGCCAATCTCTTCGCAACCTATCCCTCCCTCCAACAGACCTCCAAGATCCACCCCGAGGATGGAGCTTGTGCACCGCCCGCACTATCCCCGATCTACGGACTGCATCCTGGTTTGTTCCGCTCAGATCCAGCCTTCAACTTCTCCGCTGGGCTTCAGCGAGGGGAATTTGCATCACCAGCAGCCAGTCTTCCACCATTACCAGCAATACCACCACCGCGATTATCTAGTATTGATAATTCTCGATTGGAAATCACTGAACTTAGTAACTACTCCACGGATCCCTGCAAGGACTTGGCTCCTACCTGACGAGAATGTGATCATTGATAGACTGAATAAAAGAGGATGAGATGAAACGATTGTCTGATTTTTATGTTCCCGACCCCAAGGGAGGAGTTATTGTAGTGACAGCGAAAATTGATTGTGGAAATTTCATGATTTCTCCATGTTTCATGACCCGTAGATACTCTCCCGACACTTTTTAGAGACCGATCTGTGTGTGTGATTTATTTTTTCGACGCTTAAAGAAGCTCTACCCTTACGGTAAATTCAAAGATTTTTGAAAACTGTAAAAAAATTGCAGAAAACTCGATTAGATTCGGAATGTTTAAAAATCAGGATTTAACCCAGTGTCTTATGCGAAAATCAACATTTCCATTGTAATCAAAGATTAAAATCTGAATTTTTTTTCATTAGATGTGAAAAAATGAAGGATTTTTTGACACCTCATAAAAAATAATCCATCGTTTTGTAAACAAGTTTTATTATTTATTTATAAGAGGGAAATGTTTCCACTTTGTTGCCATCTAGTGTACCCTGTCTCACTAAGGTGTCGGGTGTGGGCAGGGGGTTCCAATAGGTTCATCGTGTATTCTGCAGTTGTGTGGGTATGAAACCAAAATTTTGTGCTACGATTTCTCTCGCACAAACGATGCGATTCAATTTTTTTTCACGCAATCGAGGTATTTTCATGTAACTTAGAACTGATTAGATTCTGAACAACATCGCGTCAGCGGTTCTTTAGATTTTGCAATAAAACTTACAAAGAAACGGCGAAAAATAACATTTTTTTACAAATTTGATGATTCCTCTCAGAGAAACGATGAGATTGATTTCTTGCCATCACAATTGATGCAACTTTGTATGATTAAGATTGAAGTGAAATTCCAGCAAAATCGTCTCAGCGGTTTCGGAGTAACTCGAACACGAATTTTTGAAATTTGGAACTTTTCAAAGATTTTTCAATACAGGTACATTTTTTAATTTTTTTTTTCATTCTATATTTCTGTTTTTTTCATCAAGAAAAACAAACGAATCATTCTATTTTTCTGTTTTTTTTTCTTTAAAAAAATTAAACGAAAAAACTTGGGAAATGTGAGCGGAAGAAATTCAATGGAAATATCTCAACAGAATAAGTTGTATAGAAAAATCTAATTCTGATGAATGAAGGAAAGGCAATTGGTCGGGAAGTTATTGGTTCAACCCGTTACGGACGAAAAAATTTTATAGAAAAACCTATCGAATTCGTTAGAAAGCTCAATTGAATTTCTATCGAACTGTTCTATTAGTTTTTGGCTGATTCTATTGACATGTTCAATAGAAAACATTCAATAGAAAAAGTCAACAGAATTCGATTTTTCTATATAACTTATTCTTTTCATATATTTTCTACAGAATTTGCTCCACTCAAATTCGAATTCTGTTTTCGTTTGATTTTCTTGATGAGAAGAAAATAAGAATAGAATAAAAAAAACTTGGAAAATTTGAGTGGAGCAAATTCTGTAGAAAATATATGAAAAGAATAAGTTATATAGAAAAATCGAATTCTGTTGACTTTTTCTATTGAACATGTCAATAGAATCAGCCAAAAACTAATAGAAAGTTTAATAGAAATTAAATAGAATTTTCTAACGAATTCGATAGATTTTTTTGTTAAATTTTTTCGTGCGTGGTAATGGGCCACACCCACTCCAACCCACCTGCGATGAGCGAGCGAAGCGAGCGACCAACAACCCCATCGAATTTTTCATTCCGTGGCACGAATTTTGATTCAGCAATTCTAGCAGCACTTTCCGCTAAAAACAAGCAGAATCGAATGCTAACAATTCCTAGCATATCAGGGGTCACTTGTCATCTCCCCAAGTGAACTAACGGAATGTAAACAATTTTTCAGCAATAAATATTTCGGTCACATATGAATTATTCAATCGGAATGCTCCGGCGAAGATAAAGAAGATAAAAATCGCTGGAATGTCTGGGGTTTTTTCTTTTCCACTCCAGGTGAGTAATCATTGGGCAGTTGCATAATCTTCGTCGCATTTTCGGCATATGCATTTTCCAATTACTGTGGTAATTAGCGTAAGATGATGCAGGCAAATGCGATCCCAATTAGTTCTTCCGAACAATAATATAAATTTGCATTTTATTCGGTGATGAGAATTAATATTGAACACATTCCTGTTTTTTTCGCGCAGAAACTGAGAACGAGATTCAATAAATGACTGGCGGAGCAGTTACTCCAATATTGCTTTGGAATCGAGCCAAATGTAATTACAATTTTTTATTGTTTATGGCCATAAAAATATCAAACGAGAAACTCAAGGTTTCAGTGTTTCATTGAAATTATATATGTATGACGAGATTTACCCCGGTGGATGAACAAGTATAACGCTATATCAATTATCGTTACAGAGTAGTTGAAATCATCCAACTGGTAAAATCGTAAAACTTATATATTCCTTATAAACTTGTGCTATAAAGCCAAGTTTTATTTTAGCAGTAATAATTTTTCTTCGTGAAACTTCTCGCATGGTTTCATACGTTGCCCATTAACTGCGTGACTGTTACAACTTCTGAAGAAATCTTGACATTATTTTCTCCATTAGCATATAATGTGATGCGAACAGAAATGAGAAAATATTAGTCACTATTTCAGAAACTTTGGTATTTGAAGCATCCCCCGGTTTTCGGATTTTTATTGGATGCCAACAAGGCGCTTACTGGGACCCTTGTGACCCTTAGTTTCTCACCTTTGGGTTTTGACCCTTCATTTGTGATCCTTAATTTTGGAGTCTTAATTTTGAGTATCAAATTTTCATCATCAGAAGTCAATTTGGATTTTGATATTATATATTGGGTCCCATATGACCTCCGTGACCCTTATTTAGACTTTTGTCCCTTATTGTAACCCTCGTGACCCTTATTTTGATCTTTAATTTTGGAGTCTTAATTTCGAGTACCAAATTTTCATCACCAGAAGTCGATTTGGGTACTTAAGGACATCCTTTCGGCCAAAATTCACGTTTTTTTCATTTTTCTGGTAAATTGTTGATTGGATTGACGCGAAACCATATATCTTTTTTGACATTATTGACTGACTCACGAAGTTTCACGGTAGTGCAATCATTTTCCTGCATTTTTTCTAAAGTTTTGTGAATTTCCGAAAAGTTGAAAAAGTGTGAAAAGTGTGAAAATTTATAAAAATCAGAAAAATTCAGGGAAAAATTGAAAATTCATGTCACTTTATTTCTGAATATTCATGTTCCCCTGAAAATTCAATCAAGTTGTGAAATTTCCATCTCACTTCCACTGAAAACTCATGAACTTCCCTGAATTCTACGTAAAACTTGAAATTTCATAACCATTTTTTCCTTAAATCCGATTCAATATCACTCTTCTGAGATTTACTATAAAACCTTCCATGAAATTTCAAAAAATTTCCAACAGTGTACTTGAGTACAAGAATATTTTAAAGCACGAGACTTTTCTCAGGCCACGTGAGTTGAGGTGTCTGGGAAAATTAAACAATTGAAAAAAAAAAAGATTTGACTCAAGTAAATATCAGTAGCGAAATGATAAAACGGTATTACAAGTCAATTTTGACTATTGACCAGTTTTCGATGAATATCTCGGAATCGAATGGAGATAGCAAAATTTTTGTAGAACCTTTTTTGTAGAACAGATTAAGTGCTGCAACAAATTTACTTACAAAAATTTCGCTATCTCCCTTAGATTCGGAAATATTCCTAAAAAAATCAACTGGGAGATAAGTCGACTTGAACCGTTTTACCACTTCGCTACTGATATGTTTCAGATATTACAATTTTTTTGTTCTCAGTGTAACAGAATTCAATTTTGAATCAACTTTGAAAATCGTAGATCTGACCACTTCCCCAGTGTCACATGACATTTCCCGCGGTCAAATGTTCCATCTTTGCGTTTTCACTTGTTACAACAACAACTGTACATGCATCTAAAACTTTTCCCTCGAGAAAATATATCTCATTGTTTCTAGAATTGTAGCGGTGCCCGCTCTTTGGTCTTGCTATTTTCTATAGCCAGCTAGGTTAGAGATGAGAAATAAAAACAGTGCATACAGTGTAACGAGCTTCTACAGGCTTCCGTGAATGATGACTTCGGGGAACTTCCTCGGCATTTTATTTTATTAAAACGTGGGAAAGGCGTACGATGACTGACTTTATGCCACGGTTTTCAACATGTAATTTTTACTTTATTCCATTTGCGGAACTATACCACGTGACACTAAATACAATAATTAATGCCGCCTCTGTTAAGTTACTCGGATCGTGAAAAATGGGTAGGTAATAACTGTAGTATGAGAGTAGGGGACGGTTGAAGCAGTTTCTCGTATTTCGTACGCATCAGTTTAAGATTATCTAAGGACTTTTTTTATTTCGTAGACGACACTTAAAATTCAACCATTCTTATTCATTCAATTTGTCCATTAAAATACGTGAGAGGAAATTGGAAAAATGAATATTCGGCGTTGTTCTAATTGTATTTTGCAAGGAATTATTATTTTTTAAAGCATTCGTTGTTTATCAATAAATAATTGAAGTACTTTACACTTTCGAAAACCTCATTTAGTCAGGTGTTAAATCGATTACTGATTAAATTCTGAATATGAATGAAGTTGTTACGATTCTAAGTAAATGATTTTTATGGTGGAAAGCTGATTGTTTATAAATTATTTATAGAACATGCACGTAATTTTCAAAAATTGCAATTTTTTAATTGATTCATTAAATTTCCTACAAAAGTAAACTTTCTAATTTTTTTTCAGATTTTTACAATGTTTTCCAATCGTTCAATATCGAGATTCAAATTCAGGCCTGCAAAGTTTAAATAATAAAATTATTGTAAAATGTCTGCAAAGTTGGGGTCAAAATTTGAAAAAAAAATCCGGAATATTCACCGTCATTAAAATTACATCTTGCACAAATTCATTATTTTTTTTAAACATTCGTTATTTACAAATAAATAATTGAAATTGTTCAAAATTTTGGAAATCTTATTTTTTAGACATTAAATCGATTTCTGATAAAATTCTAAATAT